GATAAGAAAATATAAGCTTATGTAAATATTGTATAATATAAATATTATACTGTAAAAATTTTTAATTAAAGTCTGCGATATATACACAATGCGTTTTTTCCTGTTAGATTGCTTGCGTTTTTGTGAATTATTAGAATTGCATCATACGGAACGTAGATTTTCTAACTGAAACGTAAACAATCCAGCAGGAAAACATACATTATATATATCGCAGTAGAAATGTTCCTTATGAATTATTAATTCGCCATAATACTATCGTCAATAATTTGGGCAAATATGAATTAAATTTATATAATGATAAACCGACTACAGTTAAATTCAATGAAATAATGAATACTTCTGGATGCATTTATAAGCTTTATTATTAGTAGGGTAAACCCGGTATATACACCGCACCTATCAAAAACTTAATTCATCAATTATTATTTCCTATGTTTAAAGCAAATTAATTATACAAATAAAAACTTTGTATCATAGAAATCCAAAATAATTTATTTTCCATATTAAAAAATAACTTTTTCAAACCTTTGCATTTTTGCCATTTATCCCATGGGAGGGAGGGGAGTAATATAACCACTCATATATAATTCATAAGAAAATCACAAATAATTTATAAATAAGATGTAAAATGACGACGCAACTTGCATTTGTTTATTAATATATGACAATTTTTAGTGTTCAGAATGAAAATTGGAATACAAATAGGTCTTAATAAAATTTTTTTTTAAATAGCTTCAAATCTTTAAAAATAATCTTTAATGTTTAAGATTTATCAACATTCATGCATTAATGCAAAAAAATAATTGTTAGAATTAACAAAAACTTCTTAAATAGAGCGTCTGTGCTGCGGCATAGCATCCCGCTCACTAAAAAATATATCCCAAATAGACGGGATATATGTAAGACTAATTAAACAAACAATACAGGAGCAAAGCACTTGTATTTTGCACGCCTACAATAATCATTTTATGTAGATTATAAATTATGATGGCACAACTTATTACAGTAAAAAATCGATTTAACTCGCATTAATTTCAGTAAAAAACTGAACATAACATAAAATGTTATGAAATCTCGTTCCAAACATTTATTGGCATATTATTAGTCAAATAACCTTCTAGATAATCCAATTCAAAATCTATATGCAGGGAATGGAAGTAACTCGTTACTTGTAACGAAGTTACAGTTACAAGTTACTTTTTTGGTAACTTTATCGGTAACTGCGTTACTTTCTTTTTTTGGTAACTGTAACCAAGGCCGGCGACTATGGTATGGAGGGTATGGAGCACTCCATACCCAAAGACTTCTGGGTGTGGAATTTCCATACTCAGAATCATGAGGAATCCTTTATCCGAAATTTAGGGAAAAAATTAAACTTTAATTAAATGTGATGGTACAAGGAAAGCACGGACCTTTACTCTGCCGATAGTATACAAATTTACAAAGTTTGGTGTTTTTTCCTCGGAAAAAATTAATTTCATCTATAATGTTGCTAGGACATAATGATATATCATTGGACAATGACGGCAGCTATCGATTAATGGTAATCATAACAATCGTTGATATGTTTACCATCTGTTTAAGCCAGGAACTGTTTATTCGACAAAATATTACTACCCAAAGCACTAAGAATTGATATACATAATGTCTTTTAAATTTAAAACAGTATGCCCTACTTTTGAAATCACCCAACAGTAATAAGTAAAAACATCAAAGATAAAAAACAGCATATCCTTAATACCTATCCAAGTAATTAATTTTTTGGCGTATAACGGTTAATTTAATTAAAAATTTGGAAAATATTAATCATTTTCATGAAATGCGAGATTTGCGTTTTCTACGCTTTAAAAAGAGCTTCTGTTAAAACAATTTTTTTATAAACTACTTTATGGCCTATACTGAACCTTTTAAAACTAAATTACTGAATTAAAAATCATGCTAGACGAAAACATTGGAAATCAAAAATGGGAAATGTGATCTTCAGCCCTGAGCAGGAGTCGAACCCACGACCTTTGAATAGCCGGTTCACTGCTATAGCCTTAATATTGAGCAAACCAATACTTTAATTAGAGGTAATAAATTCGAATTTCTGTACTAAAAATGAAAACGAACCAATAATACGAGAAAAGTAACAAATTGATCAATTAAGGCCCAATTGGAAAACTCTATACCCAGGCTGGTTGAAAGTCGCCGGCCCTGACTGTAACGGTAACGTAGTTATATTTTTTGGATAACGGTAACGAAATTTACAGTTACTTTACATACGATTGGACACGTTACTCCGTTAACAATTACATGTTATTAATTACGACAGCTCTAAATATGGTTGTAGGACATTGAGTGTTTTTATTTAATACTATACATGCGTACAAGCTACATATAGTTTAACTTAATCTAAGCATCGTGTACATTTTGTTCTAATTGAGCTGTGTATAAAGCTTTAATCTATACATTTCTGTGTACATTTATGTTGAGCAATTGGAAAACATCTCTTTTTACAAAACTTCTGTTATAATTTTTAATTATAGCGTTATAATTTTCTTTCTATCAAAATATTTGATTTACAACTAAAAGTATAGATTAAGTAAAAATATAGCTGTATTATAACGAAGAGACTATTCTTATTTCTTAGTATTTCTTAATTTTCCATTTAACTTTTAACTTACATTGTGATTCAGATAGTTCTATATAATCTTTTAGTTTTCTACAAAGTATAAAAAAATTTCTAAAATATTTTACCTGTCAACTGCTATAGCGATCCTGAAGTGATCTTTGACAGTTGAGAAATATATACAGTATCATTATTTCAGGAACTATTTTGCACTTCTGTCTTCTATTTGATACACATATAATCGGACATCAGGAGACGCCATAGTGTCTCCGCCATGTCATGTTAAAAAAATTACTAGTTAATTTAAAAGTTAGTTTAGAAGATTAATAATAGACACTACAAGTCAAGAGACTCGGGATTTGAAGAATCCCGAGCTACCAAAGTCCATTCTTGGAGGGTGCATAACTTCTAAAACATACAAAATTTTTATCGAACGTCGTATGTCCTGAAAGGCGGCATAACCACGAGTAATTTGAGCCAAAAAAATTTAAAATCGGTCAAGCTGTTTTAGATATATTATACAAGCGGTCGAAAAGTAGTGATTTTAATGAAAAATTAAGAAACATCTCCTTCTCTATCCGTTCAAAATTATAACTTTTTAACATCCCCTTTCACCTTTCACTCACACTTCCATCATCTTCGATCCACCGCACCACCTCCCTCCCGTCCCTTCCCCTCCCCCACCACCCACTCCATCACCCCTGTCTTTCGCCATATTTCACTCTTTCGTTATTATAACTCAGGTGCAAATAATTTTACGCAATTACTAATATATAACAAATATTCTTTATTATACTGAAAAAAAAGTTCTGAAATCGAGTAAGTGTAATTATTTGCTTTTTATTTTTTTAAACCATGAAATAATTTTATTAACTTAAAAACAATTAACTTGCCTTTAGTAAATATCTGGAGACACGGTAGTGTCTCGGCGCTAAGCCAAGCGCGCGACACTGCCGTGCCTCCTTTACGCGAATCTGACAAATTCAGGGGATTGAGATGATCAGATCTCAGTAACGGCTGAACCGATCAAGTTCTACATATGCTCAATCGACAGGAAAAACTTAAATTGTATCATAAAAGTGCTTTCATTTTTTTTTCTACGTGCCCTACGAGCGGAGATATCGCGACGCAAAGTCCGGATCTGTGAATTTTCACGTTTTAATTTTATGATACGTCGTCGTCGTCGTCATCAACGTCGCCGACCAGAGAAATGTACTTCTCGTTTTCTCGATAATAGAGGGCCTTTGACTTTATGTGTTATCTCACTCTATCTATCATCTCCTTCTATCTATCTATATCTAACCAGCAAACCAGTGTTGCATGGTCACATATGATGACGCGCGCGCGGTTTAAAATCTTATAATTAAAAATAAAATATTATTCAATATAATATAAAATATTTATTAATAAAATATTTATTAATAATATATATATAATGTTATTATATATATATACATATATATATATATATATATATATATATATATATATATATAAAAAAATAT